TTTTGAACTGTGGTGTTGGAGAAGACTCTTGAGAGTCCCTTGGACTGCAAGGAGATCCAACCAGTCCATCCTAAAGGAGATCAGTCCTGAGTGTTCATTGGAAGGACTGAGGCTGAAGCTGAAACTCCGATACTTTGGCCACCTCATGTGAACAGTTGACTCATTGGAAAAGACCCTGATCCTGGGAGGGATTGGCGGCAGGAGAAGGGGATGACAGAGGATGAGATGGTTGGATGGCATCACCGACTCAATGGACATGAGTTTGGGTAAAACTCCGGGAGTTGGTGATGGACAGGGAGGCATGGCGTGCTGCGGTTCATGGGGTTGCAAAGAGTTGGACACGACTGAGCAACTGAACTGAACTGAAGATCACGATAGCTTATGTGATATACTTAAAAGACAACTACAAAGTGATAACTGAAATTTAATCCCAGGTCTGTCAGGTTCCAAGCCTCATACCGGCTCAGGAAAGCCAAGAAGTAAACATTCATGAATTTTTTAAGACAGTTATTAAACTGCTGGTGGCTTCAGTGAGCAGTGGTGGAAGTAACTGGCATCAGAGAAATTCGCAAACACTACAAATCAGGGTGTTTTTTTTTTTTAATGAGCATTAGATAGCTGAGTATCCATTTGACCTTTAAAAGTTTTCCAAATTAAAAATGTTTACAGTTTCAACTGCTATTCCACCCCCATGACTAATATCTGTAGAAATGAGACTAGCTCATATGTAACCTAGATTAACCTTCCTGTGGTCTTTTTGATTCTTCACATAATTATCCTGATAATTGCCAAATGAATGATTCTTTTCTCTGAATCCAAAATTCTTTGATTCTTAAAATTAGGCAAATTGGTGAGAGCAGAATGCTAATGAGGCTGTTTGTTGTCTGATCTGTATGATTATGTTTCTTTCCCACAGAGACTGAGTGGATACAAGCGCTGGTCAGTCTGATCAGCTGGCCTCAAATTTGTTGCTTTGAACACAAAGAGAGAAAACGGAAATAGCGCTCAGCAAATAAAGCGGTGCTATTGGAAAACCAGTTGTGAGTTAGCAGCAATAACTTTTTTATACAGGGAATTCATTATTCTGATTTCATACCTGTCTATAATTTTAGTGGTTCTTCCTTTTAATGTAGTTGAAGAACAAATATTTATATATTCAGCATCAATTTTTAAATAAGTAGAGTCAGGATGTTCAAGTTTGGGCCCTGGCCAACGTTGGTTAATTGCACATCCATAAATGCACCATTTACACTCTCTGATTTCTCATTTGTAGAATGAGGAGGGTGATTATATAATTACCAGATTCCTGTGAGATCTACATTTTTTGATTCCATGATTATTCTAAGTAATGGAATCATAGGCTTGGATCAGTAGTGTTTTTATTTTTTTAATTATTATTTTTTATTGGAGTCCAGTTGATTTATAATGTTGTTAGTTCCTGCAGTACAGCGATGGGAATCAGTTATACATACACATTACCCACCCTTTTTTAGAGTCTACTCCCACATAGGTAATTACAGAGTATTGAATAAAATTCCCTGTGCTATACAGTACGTTCTCATTAGTTATCTTTCATCTATAGTAGTAGGTGTATGTCAACCCCAACCCCCAATTTATCTCTCCCCTTCTTTTCCCCCTTGGCAACCATAACTTTTTTTTTCTACATTTGTAACTCAATTTCTGTTTTATGTAAATAGGTTCATTTGTAGCATTTTTTTTAAGATTCCACCTATAAGCAATATCACTGATATTTGTCTTTCTCTGTCAGACTTACTTCACTCAGTATGACAATCTCTGGGTCTATTCATGTTGCTGTAAATGGCATTTTAACCTTTTTTGTGGCTGAGTAATATTCCATGTATATATGTACTATGTCTTCTTTACCCATTCATCTGTCCATGGATATATAGGTTGCTTCCATGTCTTGGCTATTGTAAATACCTCTAAAATGAACACCAGGGTACATGTGTCCTTTTGCATCATGGTTTTCTCTGGATAAATGCCCAGGAATGGGATTCCTGTATCATATGGTAGCTCTGCTTTTAGTTTTTAAAGGACTCTTCATACTGTTCTCCATCATGGCTATGCCAATTAACATTCCCACTTACAGTGTAGGAGGATCCTCTTCTCTCCACACCCTCTCCAGCATTTATTGTTTGTAGATTTTTTTGATGATGGCCATTTAATGTGAAGTGATACCTCACTGTAGTTTTGATTTGTGTGTTTTTAGTTGCTCAGTGGTGCCCGACTCTTTGTGACCCTGTGGACTGCAGCCCACCAGGCTTCTCTGTTCATGGGGATTCTCCAGGCAAGAATACTGGAGTGATTGCCATGCCCTCCTCCAGCGGATCTTCCCAAACTGGGGATTGAACCCAGGTCTCTCATGGAGTCCTTAAAGAATCTGCCTGCATGTGGAAGTTTTGATTTACATTTACACCAGTGAAGTTTTGATTTACATTTCTGTAATAATTAGTGATTTTGAGATGTTTTAATGTGCCTGCTGTCTTCTTCAGAGAAATGTCTATTTAGATATTCCGCCCACTTTTTGATTAGGCTGTTTGGAGTTTTTTTTTTTTTTATATGGAGTTGCATAAACTGTATATGTATTTGGGGGATTAATCCTATGTCAGTCACCTCATTTGCAAATATTTTCTCCCATTCTATGAGTTGTTCCTTTTGTTGATTATTTCCTTTGCTGTGCAAAAGCTTTTAAGTTTCATTAGGTCCCATTTGTTTGTTTTTATTTTAATCATTCTTGGAGGTAGATCAAAAAGGATCTTGTGATTTATGTTAGTATTCTGCCTATATTTTCCTCTAAGAATTTTTCAGTATCTAGTCTTACGTTTAGGCCTTTAATCCATGTTGAGTTTATTTTTGTGTACCGTGTTAGAGAATGTAGTAATTTCACTCTTTTACAGGTAGCTGTCCAGTTTTCTCAGCACCACTTATTGAAGAGACTGTCTTTGCTTTGTCGTTGGTTAGGTGACCACAGGTGTGTGGCTTTCTCCCTGAACTTTATCCTGTCTCATAGCATTTTCCACAGAATTTGAACAAAAAATTTAACAATTTGTACGGAAGCACAAATTGGGGTCTTTGGAAAAGAGCTGGAAGAATCAGACTCCCTGATTTCAGACTATAGTCAAAATAGTATGGTACTGGCACAAAAACAGAAATATACACCAAGTGTTTTTTAGTAGCCTTACCCTATATGAGGCAGCTTTCATTAGATTATATTGCAACAATCAAACTCCACATCAGCTTACAACAGAAGTTTCTATTTTGCTCCCATGACGTATTGGGGCAGGCTCAGTGAAGCTCTCCTTCATCTGTCCTCATCTGGGCACAGGCCAGAAAGGGAGTCCCTTTTTAGAACTGGTGTTTTTACAGCAGAGGGAAAGAGTGGTGGTAGAACCACATCACAGCTTCAGCACATACATGACCTGTGTCACTCTGGGTCATATTTCATTCATCAAGGCAGGTCATGTAACTAAGCCTGATGTTATTGGACTCAGGATATATGAAAGCAGAGAATATTTAAAACAAATAGTGTGGTCTGTTTCACTTTTCCTTTGATTTGAACTTGCAGAGGGCAATCTCTAAACAAATTTGTTTAAATAACTATTGTTTAGCCGATAATTCATGTCTCTTTTGCAACCCCATGACTGTAGCCCACCAGGCTCTTCTGTTCTTGGGATTTTCTAGGCAAGAATACTGGAATGGGTGGCCATTTCCTTCCCTGGGGAATCTTCCTGACCCAGGGATTGAACCCATGTCTCCTGCATTGCAGGCAGATTCTTTATCACTGAGCCACCATTAAGGATGAATATTAAAAATTTGCTGACATTGACAAACATTTCAACAAATATTTATTAAGTAGTTAATATGAGCAAGATATTGACCACGGAAAAGATCATTGTTCTCTAGGCAAATCTACATTAATGGTGTAGATAGATATATATATAGACTGTTTACACATTGTTCTAAGAATCCCTTAGAAGAAATGGAGTAGCCCTCATAGTCAACAAAAGAGTCCAAAATGCAGTGCTTGGGTGCATTCTCAAAAATGACAGAATGATCTGTTTGTTTCTAAGACAAACCATTCATATCACAGTAATCCAAGTCTATGCCCCAATCCATAATGCCAAAGAAGCTGAAGTTGAACCATTCTATGAAGACCTACAAGAACTTCTAGAACAAATGCCAAAAAAAGATGTCCTTTTCATCATAGGGGACTGTAATGCAAAAGTAGGAAGTCAAGAAACACCTGGAGTAACAGGCAAATTTGGCCTTGAAGTACAGAATGAAGCAGGGCAAAGGCTAATAGAGTTTTGCCAAGAGAACGCACTGGTCATAGCCAACACCCTCTTCCAACAACACAAGAGAAGACTCTACACATGGACATCACCAGAT